TGGAGCAAATTCGGTTGTATCTTAGGGCTTGGCTGTAGACAATGGATCGTGTGATGTGTCTTGGATGGAAGCTGGAGGCATGTAGGTACGTATAGTGTAGTTTCTTTTGGTATTCCTCAGTGGGATCAGAGGATAGTGGCCTGTAGAATGTGGTCTTGGAGAGTTGCCTGGCAGCCTCCTGTTCATAATCTGACCTGTTCATTATGACTATAGCACCTCCTTTGTCAGCCCCTTTGATGATAATGTCAGAGTTGTTTCTGAGGCTGTGGATGGCATTGCGTTCTGTACGGCTGAGGTTATGGGACAAGTGATGTTGTTTGTCCACAATTTCAGCCTGTGCACGTCTGCGGAAGCACTCTATGTAGAAGTCCAGTCTGTCATTTCGACCGTCAGGAGGACTCCACGCAGAGTTCTTCTTCTTGTAGTGTTGGTAGGAGGGTTCCTGTGGGTCAGTGCACTCTTCAGTGGTGCGTTGAAAATATTCCTTGAGTCGGAGACGACGAAAGTAGGCTTCCAGATCACTGCAGAACTGCATCGTGTTCGTGGGGATGGTGGGACAGAAAGAGAGTCCCTGAGATAGGACAGACTCTGCTGCTGGGCTAAGTGTGTGGACTGCAGACGTGCCCCAGCTAGCAGGGCGGAGAGAGAGGGAGCGGGGGGAGAGATAGTAAGGGGCGGCCAGGGCTTCAGTGGGGCGCTCGCCATGCGGCCCCGACTGCTGCGCTGCCTGCTGGGAGGGCTCCACGCCGCTCCGGTTGGCGGGGAGGGAAGGACGCAGGCTTCCCTGCTGGGCTTGCTACAGACCTGGCACCGCTGGGGCAGACGGAGCGCACAGCCCGCTCCCAGCAGGGCACTCCCCTCCTCCACGCTGCCGCCCTCTACAGGGCGGCCGGATTGGCAAACAAAACAAAACAAACAAAAAGCGGCCGTGCCACCCTAGGATTGGGCGGAATGCCGCCCCATAGAATCTGCCGCCCAAAGCACGAGCTTGCTCGGCTGGTGCCTGGAGCCAGCCCTGGTCTTGGCTATAATGTTATAAAGAAAGAGTTGGGAATTTTTTAAATAATACTTAGCACTTTTATATTGCTTTTGATCTTCAAAGTGCCGCACCAATGTTAATTAATTTACAGTGATATCTCTGAAGATGGATTGATTTATGTTGAATTCTCAGCAAAAAAACCCCACATTTGATTTTGCCAGGTTTAAGAGTGTATGGTAACTGTCTGATATGTTTTACAGCTACGTCTGTGCGTTCTGTCCCAGATTCCACACTGTCCTCCTCAGAAATTGAGCAGATTTTACTTAAAAAGACAGCTGAAAAAGAAGGTGAACTTAAAAAAGCATTTCAGACAATTGACATTGATCACACCCTAACAGTCACAAAAGGCGAATTCAGAAGAGTGATTGAAACCTTTCTTTTTCCTCTGACACAAGCACAGTTTGATTCTGTGCTGGCACAGGTACGCTATGTTATAAATGTGTATAATCACTTGGGGGCTGTTCTTATCCACGTCAATGGCAGAATTTCCTCTCGATTTCAGTGGGAGCAGGAGCAGGTCTGGTTTTATCAAAATGATGATAGATGGGGCCAAATCCTTCTTGCCTTATGTGAGTAGTTCTAGTGAAGACAATAGAATTACTTATGCGAGTAAAATGAACTAGATTTGGCCATTAATATTTCTTTTAAAGGATTCCGTCTACATTATTTCTCCCACTGTCTGAAGAAGTTACAATTCATTAGTAGCTTTTGTGATAATTAATCAAATTATGCAGTCTTATTCCTGGAGAAAGATCAGATTGAAAACCCTTTGAGTCATGGTAGAACACGTTCTTATTTATATTTTAAGGAGCTTAGCACACTTTTGAGCACTGTAAAATAATGAATAATTGGGAGGAAGGATAGTTGTCTGTTCACCACCTTTAAGCCATAGCTAGGGTGGAATATATTCTTTAAAGACCATTAGTTGTATACACTGGTTGAGATTTTCAAAACCCACCAGGGGATAGCTATACAACGCCCGTTAACTTCAAATGGAATTGTGTGGCTAACTCCTCTAGGCGACTTTGAAAATCTTTTCTTTGTCCAGGGAGTCTGCTTTCTGGTATTAGCTCTGTAAAGTTCTCATTTTTTCAGTTTAGTGATTTAACTGTGATACAACAACATGTAGAACCGTACAGTGAACTGCAAAGAGTTATACCACACACCTCCAAGCCATTGTTTCTAGTTGCTTTCAACATACTTATCCTTCTCCCCAACGATTTATAATGCTAATGAGTAATAGAAGATGGATTTTTGGCCCTGTGGAGTTCCAGTCCTGACCCCTGTGGCCATGACTTTCTGTCCTAAGGTTTCACAGATTTTAGGTTTTATATCCTTTCCAACATGCTTGTTGTTTGATTTTCACTTATATTGAATTTTACAAGGTGTTATCTTCACATTTTAAAAATATTGGTCTCTGAAAATTCAGCACTGATTTCAGTTAAAATGTAAGTAATTAGGGTCCTTGATTATACCAAATAAGCAATATGTGGATCCACAAGCAATATGTGGATCAATATGTGGAAGTACCTTACATATGCATGTGGTACACAGGGAAAGATTGTCTCACCGGTTGGATTAGATGGGATATATTTTCACACATAGACACAGAAGATCATAGAGTTAGTGTGAGGAAAAGACCTACATGATCCTCAAGTCCTTGTCCCTTATAAGTGTAGGATATAGCCTCTTGCTGGAGGATTTATCAGATATACATTGATACTATATTTGAGCATTGACAAAAGGCGAGAAGAAATGACATGCAGTACATACAACAAACGAGAGGCTATCAGAGGAGATTATTTTTGCATTTTAATAAAGTAGTTAACTAATAATGGAAGTGAATGATTTTTTTTTAGTCCCATGAGATTTCATGACAGGATTTATCTAGAAATCCATTTATTTAACACTCTTTTTATTGAAACATAGATTCCGATGACTAGCAAAGTTACTGTACCATATCTTGACTTCCTGGCAAAGTTCACTAGGGTTGCCAAAAGTGCCAACATGCAAAGAAGGTAAGAGCTTCTTATTATGTAATCCTATTGTTCCCAAACTGTGATCATGGATCACTTGCTAGCGGTCTGCAGAGAGTAGGCTGGTTAAATGGTTCTAGCTCTCTTTGTTTCCAGCTGTTACATCGTGTTACAAACAGCTCCAGGAACATTAAGTACTTTTCCAATATTGCTTTTCAATATAAACAATTGGTGTAGTTGCCATAGGGATCTTATGTGATCACTGAAGGGAGGGGAGGTAGTCTGTCAGGCCATTGATCTTGTAATGTAAACATATAGAGCTTCAAGCCTAATTGGTATATTCTGTTAACTTGTAGTAAGTATAATTGAGTATATGAGAAGTTAGATGTGAGCTGAGGTTAACATTTTTTAGGGATACTCAAAACATATAACTCAACTTGCAGGATGCAGTGTGTGACAAAGACACAATCTGAGGGACTCACAAACATTATTCTGGCAGGAAAGTTAAAATGCTGTGGGATTCATTCCTTCAATATAAATAACATGCTTCTTTGAGAGATATCCCTGTGAGTACTCCACTCCAGGTGAAGGTGCATCCCTGCGCCTTTGTTCGGAGAGTTTTGCAGCAGTGCCCGTATGGGTTGCGAATGCGCAGTGCCTGCCTCATGTGCCATTGGCACCTCAATAGCGCGTGCATGACCCAGACTCCTCAGTTCCTTCTCTACTGTCCCCGGCCTGAGACGGAGCTCAGCAGTCCCGTTGAAAACCTTAGGTTTTCAATTAGACAGATTATATAAATTAGTAAATTAGGTTTTAGTTTTAGGTTAGTTTAGTCAGATAAGTTTCAGTTGTTAGACTTACAGCCCCTGTAAAAAAAGAAATTATTTTACATCCCATAGTGCAGTTAGAAAATGCCTGGTTCACTGGGTTTTAAAAGATGCACAACGTGCAGAGAGGCGATGCCTATCTCAGATGGACACTCTCAATGTGTCCATTGCCTGGGGAATCCCACATTCCCCAGAAATGTGCCCATTGTAATAAACTGAAGGCTAGGGCACTAAAGACAGGGACCTGAGGCTTAAACTCCTCCTCATGGAAAAGTCCCTCAGACCAGCCTCCAACCCTGGGCAGGAACCCTCTTCTCGGTAGAGGTCACCTGTCTTCTCAACGCCAAGATTCTCTAGGGACAAATAAACGGCAAAAAAGCAGCCAGCTTCCTCGCCTCATAGAGAGCATCATCACCTCAAAATGGTCACCAACCTAATCAGCTTCATCGGTGCCAACTGCTCTGTAGCTCAGCACCTATGATGCTCCAGGCATCTCCGGTGCTGTCCGTGCAGTGGCCGCCGCCAGTACCCACCGCTCCAGTGCCGAGACTAATGGCTTTAAGCTGCTTGTCTCCACCATGGCACCGTCAATAGTGCCAAAGGAGATGGTACTGACAACCACTCCTATTCCTGTGCCGCAGATGAATGCGCATAGCGTGACGGTGCTGACACAAGTTACTCGGGCACCTACTCATCTCACTGTGCCATCAGTGCAATCGACACCTTGCCCCTCAGCACCGATGCTCTCGGCACAGTGCCTTTTCATGCATCAGAAAGATTTGTTGGTCTCACCAATTCCAGAATCTCCTCTATTGGGCACTGATGTCTCACCGGCAGCATCAGTACCGCATTGTCAGCTGTCTCCGATACCATCACAGTTTTCTAGTGATGAAGATGATGAGATTGAAGGGGCATTCTCCCCACACCATTCTTCCCCGATTAAGACACTTACTGCTGCCGGACCATTAAGATCATGGTCCTCATATTCTCACAATGTACCACCTTAGTATGGCCCCCCATGAATGGGACCACTCAGGCCCTTCCCAGGTCATTGGCCATACTGGAGTCCCTGGAAGTCTTATAGAAGACACCATAGCAGCCGCTCCAGTCCACGTAGGGACGACAACAGATCTCCACCTTCACAGTCTGAAGCGTTGGAAACATGAGAGGAGCCCATGGTGCAATAGGTAGAGGGCACTGCTCCTGACACCTCGCCAACCAATAACAACTCATCTTCCTCACCAGACGAGGCTATTTTGCCTCCGCCACCAGCCACAGCAGATGATTTTACCCACTTTCAGGACTTATTGAAAAGAATGGCTAATGAGCTTAAGATCGCTCTGGAGGAAGTGCCAGAAACTCAGCATGAGTTAGCTGATATCTTATAGACATCGGCCTCCTCCAAGATAGCATTACTAATCAACGGGGCTATCATGGAACCTTCCAAGATGGTGTGATAAATTCCAGCCACAATACCCCCAACCTGCGAAAGGACAGACCGAAAATATTACGCTCCCTCGAAGGGATCCGAATTTCTTTTCACACACTCAGCACCCAATTCACTGGTTGTGAAAGCGGCCAACCAAAGGAGTAAACAACAACATTTTTGGTGCACTCCCTCCAATAAGGAGAGTAAGAGACTGGACCTATTTGGCCGCAAAGTATACTCTTTGTCTACGCTACAATTCAGAGTGGCAAATTATGCGGCATTACTTGCCAAATATGACCACAGGAATTATGGTAAATTTATGGAATTTATTAATGAAATTCATGAGGAAAAGTGACAACAATTCAAAGCTCTGGTCCCTGAAGGGCAGATGATCTCATGCTCGGCTCTACAGTCCTCATTGGATGCTGCTGACATGGCCGCCAGGTCCACTGCAATGGCCGTAGTCATGCACTGAGCCTCCTGGTTCAATTCTTCGTCACTGTTGAAGATCTCCCTTTTGATGGGGAAAAACTGTTTGCAGACAAAACCAATGAAGTGCTGTACACTTCATGGATTCATGGGCCACCCTTCAGTCCCTTGGCATCCATACCCCTGCCACAAGAAGGAGACAATATACGTATCAACCGTAAGAGTGCCCTAGATACCCGTCATATACATAGCAACATCAAAGGCCATACAAGGAACAACAGCAGCAATGATAGAGACAGAGACCACAACGATGATGCCCTCCACCACTAGCAGTGTCCCAACTGCCTTCCTCAGATAAGCAAATTTGAAGTCTGGGTCGAGGGTCAAGAAGATCTTTCACCCATTCCAGCACTTCCACCAACCATTCAGCTGTTTGGAGACCATTTGCTCCCCGTCTATGCCAATGGGGCAGGTAGCACCACAGACAAATGGGCCCTAGATGTCATCTGATTGGGCTATACCATTCCTTTCCTGTCTATACCCCTTACCCACCCCACTCCTCTTCCCTCTTCAGGGACCTCTCTCATGATAACTTGCTTCGCCAAGAGGTAGAACATCTCCTCCAATTAGGGGCAGTGGAAACTGTCTCTGCTCAACACAGATGGAAGGGGTTTTACTCCCACTATTTTTTAACACAAAAGAAAAGTGGGAGATAGTGACCAGTCCTTGATCTCAGCTGATTGAACAAGTTTGTGAAAAAGCAAAGATTCAGGATGATTACCTTAACAACAGCGCTGAAGCAGGGGGCCTGGTTTTCAGCCCTCGACTTATTTTCATGTCACTATACACCCTTCCCACAGATGTTTTCTGAAATTTACTTTGGGCACAGATCACGACCAGTACAAGGTTCTACCTTTTGGCCTGTCAACAGCGCCTCACATTTTCTCAAAGATTCTCGTGGTAGTGACAGTGCACCTGAGAAAACAAGGAATAATAATTTTTCCTTACTTGGATGACTGTCTCCTGAAGTCACACACCCACTCGGACGCCATTCAATCCACTCAAATGACCATGCACTGTTTCCGAAGTCTTGGCCTACAAATAAACATAAACAAATCTACAATAGAACCAACTCAACGACTGGAGTTCATCGGTGCTCACCTCGATTCGAGGATGGCACTTCCACAAGACAGATTCCACACTATAAAGACATTCATATCCACAGTTCGGAACAGTCCACAGATCACTGTCCACAAATGGCTACAACTACTGGGCCACATGGTGGCATGCACGTTTGTAGTCAAACACGCATGCTTGTACATGCGCTGCCTACAAGACTGGCTAGCAACCGTTTACAGACCAAACAAACACAGGTTAAACATACGATTAACTATGCCCCCAAGGTCAAGGACTCACTAACCTGTTGGACTCAACTACACAGTCTGTTCTCGGGTATCCCGTTCACACAAGATCCTCCATTGCTTATGATCACAACGGATGCATCCCTTATCGGATGGGGAGCTCATAAGAAACTCAAACATCAGAGTAATGACCGACAACATCCCCTGTAGGTTTTACATAAACAGACAATGGGGAGCCTGATCGCATTCACTATGTACCAATGCTATGAGACTCTGGAATTGGTGCATCCAGTACAATATCCATATCTCAGCCTCCTACCTACCCGGATGCCAGAACACCATGGCAGACGAGCTCAGTAGATGTTTTCTCCTCTATCACGAATGGGAGTTAAACAATGCCATCCTGGAAGACGTATTCTGAACTTGTGGGGTTACCCACAAATGGACCTATTCATGACAGCATGCAACACAAAATGCCCCAAATTCTGCTCCAGGTCCAGTCTGGGGAATCGATGGGGGATGCGTTCATGATCACTTGGAACTCAGACTTTCTATACGCGTTCCCACCGATACCATTACTATCGAGAGTGGTACTGAAGATAAGGACCAAGAGGGCCACAGTAATCTTAATAGCCTACACATGGCCAAGACAAGCGTGGTATCCATACGTAACATGGATGTCCGCACATACCCCAATCACACTCCCTCTACAGACAGACCTATTAACCCAATGGGAGGGCCAACTACAACACCCCAACATAAAGATGCTACATCTCAAGGCATGGCTCCTCCATGGTTCTCTAATGATGAGCTAAATGGCTCTGAGTAGGTCCAGAGAGTGCTGCTACACAGTAGAAAACATACTACACGTAGCACCTGTCTCCACAAATGGAGGAAATTTACTACATGGTGTTCCACCAGACAAACCATTGCAGCATTTGCACCTTTTCCAATTATATTGGACTACCTCCCAGAACTGAAACAATTCGATCTCTCCCTCAGCTCAATAAAGTGACACTAGTGTCAAAATTGGTGACACTGCAATCTTTGCTCACCCTCTCACAAAGCGATTCCTTAAGGGTATCCGAACTTTCTGTCCGGACGTGAGACCACCCATGCAACCATGGGACTTAAACTTGGTCCTAACAGCCCTGATGCATAAACTGTTCAAACCTTTAGCAACCTGTTCCCTACTACACCTATCCATGAAAGTGGCGTTTCTAATAGCAATCACATCATCTAGGCATGTGGGAGAAATCGGGGTGCTCCTGACAGACCCACCATCTACTATCTTTTTTAAAGATAGAGTCACTTTGCCAACCCGTCCCAAATCCTTCCCAAAGTATATTCGTCCTTCACATCAATCAACCAATACAACTACTTACTTTCTTTCCTAAACCACACACCAACACTTTTGAAGCCACAGTGCACACCCTGGATGTAGGAGAGCATTGTCTTTTTACCTTGACAGGACCAAGCCATTTAAAGTCTCACTGAAACTTTTTATCTCTATCACAGAATGCTCTCAGGGTAACTCCATATTCATTCAAAGAATATCTAAATGGACATCCCAATGCATTCACCTATGCTATCAATTAAGAGGCATACAACCTCCAACGGGAATCAAGATGCATTCTACCAGATCAATATTGACAGCAGTGGCATTTCTAAACAACATTCCCCTTATAGACATTTGCAAAGCTGCCCCCTGGGCCTCTGAACAAACCTTTGCTAAACATTATGCTGTTACGCAAGGTCCTCAGGTTGATACTTGACTTGGCTGAGTTGTACTATCAATGGCTATTTTACCAACTCCGAAGCCCCTACCGTCTGAGGTCGGCACTGCTCTTCAGTCATCTGGAGTGGAGGGCCCACAGGGACATCTCTCTCTCGAAGAGAAGGTTACTCACCTTGTGCAGTAACTGAGGTTCTTCAAGATGAGTGTCCCTGTGGGTGCTCCACTACCCAATGTCCTCCAAACTTCAGAGTTTGGAGCAGGCTCCGGGATAGAGAAGGACTCCTGAGGAGTCCAGGTTGCGCGCACTATTGAGGCGCCAGTGGCACGCGAGGGAGGCACTGCGTGCACGTGACCCATACAGACACTGCTGCAAAACTCTCCAAGCAAAGGCGCAGGGACATCCCTTCACCTGGAGTGGAGCACCCACAGGGACATCTCTCGAAGAACCTCAGTTACTACACAAGGTGAGTAACTTTCTCCTCTCTGGAGCTTCACTTTTAAATCCTTCTTTACTTCTGATGTAAATTACTTTCAGCAATAAAAGTGTGGAGATACCAATTTTGTGTGGTAGGTAGGTAACTCTGGGATTAAAATGAGTGCCTTCCCTTCACATGAGGGACATCTGAGAGGTATAATGCAAAGCATTCTCTGAGTACCATACTGTATATTATACTGTAAAACTAATCCTACATTTACCTAGTAGCTTTGCTCCAAAAGCACTATATAATTTAACTCCCCCCTCCTCCCCCTTTCCTCTCCCTTCTGGGATGACTGGTTAGGGACTCTGCAATGGGATCCTCATGGAGATTTCCTTCCATAGATTCCTTCTCCTGCAGGTTTGATTGTGGGAGCAGATGATCTAGGCTCTAACAGACAGTTGCCTTAGAAGTTATTCTACAGATTCTGACCCAGCTCTTTTACCGTCAAGTGTAAAGTTAACAAACCTCCCAGAGAATGAGGGGGAAACAACAGTGGGAGTAGTCCACTGAAAGGAAGCAGAAGGAAGGGAGAGGAGGAGAGGAAGGGAGGCAGAAAATGGGAGGAGGGAATTTAAGGCTGCTGTCTTCCAGAGAAACAAGGGAGCTTTACAAAACTTGTGATTAATTAGCAAAAATTAATTAAATAGAGAATGAAGGATCATGCACAAAATGAAAGCTTAATCCCTTTTTATATCATGGAAAAAATAATGAATAGGTTAAATATGTGGGGCCTGATTTTCCTCTCACTTTCACATGGAATCTGAATGAGTTTAGTTCATAAACTCTTGGTTTATACTGGTGAAAGAGAACAGAATCAAACCTGTAATTAAAAAATGCTGCATTGTGACCAACCAAATACTTGTAGACATGTATTAAAACTATACGCAATGTACGTCAGAAAATGTTGTGAAGCAAAAATAAATGTGGGATAGTTGTAGCTTAACTTACAGGAGTTTGCCACAGGAGGGCAGTGCAGGTGCTGTTTTTCCAGAGAAAATTTTGTAAGAGGGAGCTTAGGGCTGGTTTCTGCCCTGATTTAAAGCCCACACAATCTCAGTGAACCCAATGGGCTGTAAGTCAGGGCAGAATTTGGTCTTTAGCACTCGATCCTGCAAATACACACGAGTACTTTCTTGCATAAGTGTTTTCAGGGTCAAGCCCTTAGTTAGGGGAAGAGCCGGGGAAAACAGGAATTTAGAATCTGTCAGATCCGTTGAGAAAAATAAAACTTGTTAATTGTTAATTGTGAAAATGACTTGGTCTGTGGTTTTGATGTAAGTAAATGGGTGAGAGTAGGGCCATTCTTTTTCTAAAAAACCTCACATGTTAAAAGATCATTGACAATGATCTTATAAATACAAAGGGCTAGATCCTCATTTATGGCTGAGGAGCACTTGATGCAGCTGGGCATTGAGGTACAGAGGTGTCCTTTGTATTCACCTGATTCTAGGACTCCTGTGTGTGTCAGTCTTGTTCCCTGGCCCAGCCACACATCAGTATCAGCTGCCAATGGCCCCAGTGGCTGTTAAAACAGCTGAGGATTGCTTAGGCACTGGGAAGCTACGCTATTGTCCTCCAGCCACATCCTCCACATTGTCAGCCATGGTGTGCAAGGTGTAGGAGCTACAATGTCTCTACATTGCTCAAGAATCCACTTGCACGGGGAGATTATCTGGGAGCTGGATCCACCAGATTCAGTGTCACTTTATGCCAGTGCAGCAGGGCAGTGCAGCCCAGCCCAGAGCCATGTGCAGGATCACGGTGGAGGCCCATTCCTGCAGTCTTTACTCATTCCATACTTAGGCAAAACTCTCACTGATATCAATAATTGGGCCATTGTTGGGCTACAACAGTAATGTAATGCATTTGCCTTATGTCTAATCCTTTTGTTCATATTATTTATTTTTAGATGGAATGATAGCCAAGGCAGCCAAACCATGACATTAAGTCAGCTGGAGTCCCTCTTAAAGGAAAAGGTACCGTAGAGGTGGATAGTAACAGAAACTGATTGCTAAAATGGTTATTTACTTTATAAGTTAAGTTCTGGCATTTCATAAATGGTACTGGTACTTTTAGTTCTAGATGTTGCTGGCTTGAATAGAAGGCTAGATTCATTTAAGGGGCCTGATTCTTTACTTTAGTGCATCTTGGGTAATCAGTTAAATTGTGCAAAGTTGGTAAAAAAAAATGCTACCAAGTCAGAACAACAGCATTTTAAGCTCTTCACTTTGCATGAAGGTAAACAGCGACACAAGGAGCAGGCTGTGGAGAATCCAGCCTAAGATCTCTGGCACCATGTTGTATGGAAAAAACTCTAGTACCTTCTGCTGAGGATTCAGGTAATAGTGAAACGGCTATGTGTAAGATAGATTTTTCTCTGATGGAGTAAAAATATCCAGCATCAATGTAGTAATCTTTTATTATACTTGGACATCAGTTAAGCCAACCAGAGAGCATAGCAAATATTTGCCATGGCGCAGAGCTCACCAGAAGAATGTTCTGTGCCCTCTGGAGCATCATGTGTCATGTCCCACCACACCCCAAGATTTTCATGTAAGCAAAAAAGCATCCTAGGACATAACCTCATGCAAATCCTGCTCCCTACACTGTTTGGCACAGGCTTGGCAAATATATTGGGAGGAGACAATAAAATCCTTCCTATTTTACAGCTTCTTTTGCAACCTCAAAGTTGCAGTAGCATCCTCAGCCCCTCTTATATGGTGGACATCTGAATATAGCTTTTCTCTAGTCTGAGTAAAATATTAACATATCGCAGAGCTGTTAGGACAGATTGTACCCAAGACAATCTTTCCTCACTGCAGAAAAGCCTATCAATCATAGCTGAATATAGTTATTATTAATGTCATAGCTTTTATTCATTTGGCTATATGCAACTAACTGGAGAGTAACATTTACATTTTCATGTTGAGTATGTCATATCACAAAAGAAACAGCTTAGATATCTTCTTATTACAAAATTTATTAATTGAAAATATCCCCCAAAGTCCTAATTAGGGTTCTGGTACACTTAATTTCCCAGGTTCTGTGTTATTTTTTTAAGGACATTCTGAAACAGCGGTGATATGTATATTCAAGTACATTAATAGAAAAGGCTATCAACTGAAAAGTAAGGTTACTGCTACCTATATATTCCAGGAAAATTTTAGTTAAAAACCCCAAGCATTTCAAACTATGGACATTAACCAGCGAAATAAATAAATGTTCAGATATACTTCATTCATATAATCTCTTAAATAAATATTCACCTGTAAAATGGCACATTGATTATTCCCAAACCAAACTTTACTCTGCTCCTCCAATATGCCCTTCATCCATCTAACAGGGACACGTTTGTGTTAATTACTGTGATTGTATGGGAAATTGTGCACACACATTTCTAAAAATTGGGTCTTTAACGCCATTTTTTCTTTATCTGTAAAATAGAGGATAATAATTCTCACCTCACAAGGGTTAAACTCATTCATGCTTGGAAAACACTTTGAGATACTCAGATGGAAGATTCTATAGAAGTGCAGAGTGTTGTTATAATGAAATACATGCAGCTACAGTGCAAGAGGATGAACTACATGACCCACTTGATGTCCCATCTAGTCCAAATGATTTTGTGACATAACAATCACCACTTTTATTTGCCATAAGTAAGCCTCCGTCTACTTAGTGAGTGGCTTAAGAGCCAATCTGAAGAAGTTAAGACAGCCCAGTGGCTGGAGTAGCCTGTGCAGTCCTTTCTGTGCTCCCCTCACTGTGGGAAGGGGAAGACTAGAGTGTTTGAATAGCAGCAGATCTTCTGGTCCTTCCCCTCCCCTGCCCACTCCATGCACTGTCTGCATACTACTGCACTGGGTGCTCCTGCAGAGCAGGGCTCTGTGCCCCACAGGGTGCTCATCCCCTGTACCCAAATCCTGAGAATACAGAGGGTCAAAGCACTGCGCAAAGGGAAAGGGGTCCCTTTGCACAATGGAAGTTCACTGGGTTTGCTGCTAAGAGAGCCTCCATAGCCTCAGAGTCAGGGGCAGGATTTTCTCCTTGATTACTTATCCAAAAGCACCGAAAAGCAAGGAAGGAACTATTGATTCAAACAGTGAAGTGTCTCCAAACATTAAAAAAAAAGTTAGATTCAGGTAAGACTGGCCACCTGAAACAGCTTTCAACAAAAGCAGCAAAATATTCACCTGAGGAGCTAGCAGCTGTGGGGTTGAAACCGCCTCAGCAAAGAAGAAAAAGAAGAGAACCAACCACTAGAAAAAGTAAATTTATAAGAAGGCTTGTGAGGATACAATGATGGCTCCATAATGCACGTACGCATCAGGGTTTACATTTAGGCATTTCACTTCTAGCTGTTGTATGGAGATGTTTATGCATAAGTATTCATACTAACTAATCCTTAGTTTTGGACCTAAACGGCTAGTGTCTCTTTAAAGGTAAGCAACATACTGAGCCTGATTTACACTAAGCCGCCTTTACACTCCATAAAGTGTGGTGGTGTAAAGAGGCCTCAAAGTGCACATAAATATATTACACCAATTTTAAGGTCTCTCTAAATTGCTAGAATGTATAAAGGGCCTTCGTGTAAATGAGAATTAGGCCCAGTATCTCTTCCTCACTCCCCACTTTCCTACTTCCCTTCCCCCACAAATTTTTGATTTTATGTTTATGAGGCTCTGAAAATAGTCTAATTCTTTTCTATCTGGTTTGGCCTATCTCTACCAGCTGGTAAATAGGAAATGTTCACCGTAGGAAGCCAATACTCTGCAGAGTGTAAACAGATGGAATCAATATAAAGTGACAAGTTAGACTGTGCTACTGAGAATACAGAGCCAAAACTAAGAGCATAACAGTCACGATACTTATTTTGTTCCAATTCATTTGGTACTGAATAGCACTTCATATATGCACAGCTGTGTCCTTCCGTTTTTTACTTTCTTTCTTCTGGTTTGATGATGACAATTTCAAAGAAAAACTTTAATTAAAGATTTTACACAAAATGGCCCAAAGTAGAATATAGGGAAAATGAGCATTGATGTGTTTATTGCACGAGGAATATTTTTTCATGCATTTATTTTTCCTTTTTTTTAAACAAAGCAAAAAAAAAATGTGCATGAAATGTGCTGGATTGACAACCTTGCAGGCTGAAGTTTTCTGTTTATCTACAGCACAGGCACCAGATTGAGCTCTGGGTATGAAAGCTTGCTCACCCTGCCCTTCCTGTATACCTGGTACCCTGCTCTGGAGAGGCCACCCTCTAGGGATGAGAAGGTGGTTCATTCTCCAAGCCCATTCCAGGGTAGAATGTGAGAATTTCTGCATGTGGGTGCAGGCTGAGGGAAATAGGATGCCAGGAGCCAGGATTGCTTCAGTCCAGCAATGGTAGCCTCCCCAGAAGGGCTGTGGAAATGGAAATGTTATGGCCTTTCTCCCTTTCTTGCCCTGTACAGACCAGCAGACTTTGCCATGTGTGGAGGAAAGCACATCTTGCACCCTGTAAAAGTGTGATGCACAAGCTGTGCTTCTCTGGGAACTGCTGCAGAGGCAGTGTGCTTCCAAGTTATGCCCTGCTGCAGGCTGTGACTTAAAAGGCACAACTGACTTCTCATTCTTTTGCCACCAAGAATGACAATGTGATGGTGGGATTTTTGACACCTTTTCACTAAAATGAGAGAGGCAGAATGTTCTGCTGGTTTGAATAGTGGGCTGGCAGTCCGGAGACCTGGATTTAAATCCCAGTCCTGCCATCAACTCATTCCTCAGTGTATAGTTCTGTAGAATGAACAGTTGCCACCCTTAAATTTTTGCCATTGTTACTTCAGATAAATAGTTCAGTACTTGCAGTACTCCCTACATTACTAGGGTGTCTGCTATAAAGAGGAGCAGCAACTGTTAGTTTACACTTGCAGAATTTCCTTCAGATTCTCCCTGCAGAAGCCATGGGTTTCAGACTCCTCCCTCCCTATATCCCCCAAACTATGCAAGGGAATCTCAGCAAATCTGCACAGAGGTCTTTTGCCTCCCTACTCCATTATTTTGCCTCCCTTGAACAACATGATTCCTCTATGAATTGTGCTACAGGGGGCTCACTCGTCCTGTGGATTCCCCTGAACCCCTCTCAGGGTTGTTCCACACCACATGGGGGGAAGGCCATGTAAGTTAGTATAGACAGAATCAGAGGGTTTGGGGTGGGGAGAATGCAGTGATGCAGTGCAGACCAGTGAACCCTCTCCATCTTCCTCTGCTTGCCCCGTCAAACATTCAGAAGTGAAACTTTGTGTTCCCTATGCAGAGAGGATTCCACAGAATAAGGGAGCAGGAAGGAGATTATTATGTAGGTGGTACCCCACAAGCTCAGATCCATGGGTGCAGGCTCTCTTTGGAATGCATATGTTGTGTGAAGTATGGGGATCATTAATAATTATGTTGCTAGCGAAATACCCAGGGTTGTGAGTTCAATCCTTGAGGGGGCCACTTGGGGATCTGGGGCAAAATCAGTACTTGGTCCTGCTAGTGAAGGCAGGGGGCTGGACTCGATGACCTTTCAAGGTCCCTTCCAGTTCTAGGAGATGGGATATCTCCATTAATTAATTTATTTATTTACAGTTGGGTGGGTAGCCTCGTATTTGGAGGTAGAGTACTTCAGTCTTTGAAGGGTAATCTGTGGTCTGCATAAAAATTGTATTTAGAACTCCCTGTGTCTGGTGCTGGATGTGATTTGCACTGAATTTTCTTTACACATCAAGGTGTAAGAAAATACTTTAAACACCTAGTTTTTGATCTTGAAGGATCCCCCAGTGCTACACAAACTACCTTCTTGTAACACTGATGAAATGCAGTTACTTCTGGGATGGAACGTAGTAGCCAACTGGCACACAACAGTAGTAAGAGAGGACAATATGGCCAGATACCAAGACAAGGTCCTACTGTAATGAAAAGTGTGATTTACTCATTCATGTCTATTGAGATCAAACAGGACTAACGTTTCTAATATTGAAACAGCTGATCATGTTCAATGATCAGCTGAAATATCTTTATGTGGTTGTGACAGGATCCCTGGGGTACAACCTGAAACTGGGGTACTGTTATGCCCCCTTATCTCTCCAGCCCAGGCTCTCTCTCACAATGCTTTGCTAGTGACAACAGCACCTGGGGGGTTTGCTGTTTATCACTCAGTACAGCAGCCCCCCATCCAACTAAATTGCATGAGTGCTCCCTGAGCCACTCACGAATCACACAGAGAAAGGCACCAGCAAATCTCCCAAGCCCCCAGCCTTGCACCACAGAACTGTACTGTCTTGCCCTGGTCAGAGCCTGGCCTGTATAAATTCATTCCCAGTCTACCCCTCCCTTGATGTGGAGAGGATACACACTAGCCTTTGTAACCTGAGCTGAGATTTCCCAAGCACTTCATCCAAAACACACTGTTTTAGGTAAAATATAAAACAGGTTTATTAACTACAGAAAGATTCATTTTAAGTGATTCTAAGTGGTAGGCAAAAGAAGTCAGAGATAGTTACCAAAGAAAATAAAAGGTAAGCACAGGGCTGGCTCTGGCTTTCTGGCCGCCCCAAGCAAAACAAACAAACAAAAAAAACCCCGTGGCGGCCAGAACAGCAAAGCAAAAAAAAAAAAAACCACCTGCGGTGCAGCCGGAGCCAGGGTGCAGGGGGACTCCCTGCCCTGCAGATGTGCCCTGGCTAGCGGGAGGAGAGAGAGAAGGGAGGCAGCCAGGCTTCAGTGGGGCGCTGCCACGCGGCCCCTGCCACCGTGCCCCCTGCCGGGAGGGCTCCACATCACTCCAGTCAGCGGGGAGGGAAGGACGTGGGCTGCCCTGCCAAGCTTGCTGCAGGGCGCTCCCGTCCTCCACGCTGCTGCCCCCTACAGGGCGGCCGGAGCGGCACAACAACAACAACAACAAAGCGGCCGTGCTGCCCTAGGATTGGGCGGAATGCCGCCTCCTACAAGTTGCCGCCCCAAGCACCAGCTTGCTCGGCTGGTGCCTGGAACTGGCCCTGGGTAAGCATGCGGTCTAAATCCTAGACAGGGGTTCTCAAACTGGGGGTCGAGACTCCTTAGGGGGTTGCAAGGTTATTACACGGGGGATTGCGAGCTGTCAGCCTCCACCCCAAACCCTGCTTTGCCTCCAGCATTTATAATGGTGTTAAATATATTTAAAAGTGTTTTTAATTTATAAGGGGGAGGGGTCACACTCAGAGGCTTGCTATGTGAAAGTGGTCACCAGTACAAAAGTTTGAGAACCACTGTATTAGACTGAACAATATTTGGATCAAGCAGTTTTTCTCACCCACTGGATGTTGCAGGTAGGTTACAGTCCTTAATAGACAGGCTTTCCCTTTAAGTCTGGGACCAGTCTCCTCAGTTCAGGTATTTGTTTCCCCTGCATTCTTGTTGCTTCCAGTGTAGGTGGGGAGGAGAAAGGTGCCCTCAAGATACCACTGACCCTTATTTTATACTTTTAATCCATGTCCCTGAAAAGAAACTAGCCCAGGCATGCCTGGTGGGGCTTGCTGAGTCACAGGGTTGAGCAATCCCCATTGTGTGGTGTTTCTCTTACAGAATTGCAAATCCCTTGTTTACAACTCCCCTGCTGATTAATGGTTGTTTAATGGCAGCCTGGATGTGGATCACCACCTTTGTTGTCACTGGAGAACTAACAATGGACGACTCCCAGATTAACAACGTATTTCAATAACAACCATACAGCAAAATCACTTCATAAACACTAATGATATACGTATTTTGACAGAACAACAGGTTTCAGCAGATAATGACCTTTAAAACGATACCTCACAAGGCATACGTTGTACAAAACATATCATGACAGTGGTGAATATGGGGTTTCCAGGGTGTTGCTTTGAGGTACAGAGTGCCACAGTAGTAAACTGCATGGTACTCAGTTTGACTTATAAGGATGAAAAGTTGAGTTCAACCTTCTAGGAAATGAATCTCTGATTCTGGGGGGATTGAAGAATTAAAAGCTTGATTCTTTGACCATACAGTGATCCTCTTTAACAAAATCTGATTACCAAAAGGTATCAAATGTTAATAAATAGTCTTTATCATGAAAACGTTGAGGTTGTGTGGGACTAGATGTGTGGAAATGTTTTTCCAGTCCAGTGAAACTGGGAAATTTCTGCCTTTTTGACAGTCCTGTTTATATTAGAACTTTATTGTGTGGTCTTAACTGTTCATAGTAGCAAAAGGCAATTTTTATGAGTAAAACCAGCTTTCCCTCCTCCTTGTCTCCATCCAAAACAATAAAAAAATTGCCCCCTTCCATCATCCTGGTCTGTGCATACCTGCCAAGGACCAGTCATAACCTGACTGTATGCCTCAATTCTGCTTACTTTGGACTAGATTGTGGGCCCTTTACTTACATTGGTGGGCAGGTATAACCATAGATTGTGCCATTGCAGTCAAATAAACTACTCATGGGATTAACTGCTCAGCAGTGGGAATAAGGAGTTCACAATGGCAAAGCTCCTATTGACTTAAATGGGAGCAAGATTTCACCCAAGGTTTTGCTACTTTATACTCCTGCTAGCACTGCGTAGCCTACCGGATTCTATTTTGGCTCATGTACCTTCATCAAAACAGGCAGCTTAGTTCCAGTTGTAGAACCTAAATCGTTGCTCCTGTTGTGTGAACCAGAAAGAACACACTTGACTTTCAATTCCCAGCTTGATTTTTTAGGAACAGTAGTTCAGAAGAGCAGTATTTTTAAGCAAACTTTTCTTACTTGTAAACAGCAAAATTCAACATAGAAGTAATTGAAAAACAGTAAGCTCAGAACCCCACAATGTCATGTTTTAGTGTAAGACTGCATTTTCAGGTTCAGACTTGCACAGATTTTTAACAGGCTCAGAGGAAAGGGCTGCAGTTGCAAATGTCACACCTTCACTAGCAAAACCCCATGTTTTCTTTTTTTTTTTGTCCTCAAACATACCCTCTTATTTTTGGTAAATATTTGAATTGAATAAAAAAGAGATTCACTCCACTTTATTCGGAACACTAATCGTTTGTTGATTTCTAATAAACATATGTGGAAGAAAACAGAGTCTTCACTCTTAGGTTGTTTGCAACATGTCAGAGACAGTTTATTTTCCTGACACTTGCAAGGGGAGAGTACACCCTGACTGGGGTTCCCCCATCCCAGGCAGGTCTCCATTAGATAAACAATTAGGGCAAGCATTTATACCTTTTGTTACAGACAATAATGATCAACACCGCATCTTGTTTATACATATTCCTTCTGATATCTTACTTTTCTCTGCAGTTCCTGCTACAGTCTGTATTCCATTCTTATCTAACACAAGGTCGAAAAAAAGTATCTCTTATAGTTTTTCCCACTTGCTTCCCACTCGTTCAGGTCCTGCCTTAAGTCTCGCGTTATTAAAGTTGGAGTTAGCCTGACTCTTGCTCTAGTCTGTTGAAAACTAAGATGTCTGCGTCCAAATTCCCTTTATCCCTTTTTCCACTTCCACCCATCAATACCCATGAAACTGAATTACTACTTTAGAGTTATAGTGTTAAGTAACTGATTAAAGTAATACATTAGCAAGCCTGTCTACATATTAATTGTAAAATTGCATGAGTGAATGACTTATATACATAAATACACAATCTTGCAGTATTTGGTTTCTAGCAAATCTCTAGGTTTCAGTCATTGGAGGAAGATATCTTTTATCTACTGCTTAGAAGGAATGAGTTGTATCTGAAAACTCATTACTTTGCCTAAGCGTTTTTTAACTTTACCAACACCGTTTACTGAGGAAATTGCCTTCAAAACATCCAGTAACTGCGCAGTATTCATGTCTTATAGTCATTTTGTAACACTTCCCACTGTGCTCAAAAAGGTTGGTTTTTTGGTTTTGTTTTGTTTTTTTGCATGGTTGGAAAAAGTATAAAATGCCATTTTTTATATTAACAAAGCTATCCAGTGCCTGTGTTTCATGTTGCATCGGTGTTTGTTTCTTGTTTAATTTATAGATTTCAAAGAATTTGAAAAGCATCATCAAGACCTGTAGACTTTTTGATTATAACCGAACAGGACAAATACAGCGGCATGAGCTAAGACGGATTCTTGAGATCAGTTGTTTCAGGATGAAGGATGCAGAGTATGAAAAGTAAGTGAGTAAACAGTCAAAGGTTTCTGTATGGTGCTTGAGATTAATAAGTTAAGGGGCCTATATGGCCTTCTGACCTGCACAGGCTGTCAGATTCTGGAGAGTGGCTTGGTAATAGGCTGACTTATTAGGGTAAAAGCTGGCTGGCTGCCAAGAGCCTTGCTCCATATTGTGGACGCATCTTTAATCACCCACATACACACTTCAGCCTCTGAAATTTCCTATAGCCTGAGGGAGGTAGTAATTCCATGGTCTAATTGCTAAAGGAATGGGTCTTAGCATCTTAACTCCTTCTAGCTTCAAGCAGCTTGATTGTTGGGGGTGGGAATGGGGGTCAAAGAGATTGGTGTTTGGGGTAGAACCTCTTTGCCTTGATCTCCAAAAGATTGTCAGAGGAGACATTCCTTCCCCCCTTCACATCAGTTCCGGGAATGGTACTGCTGGTGCCTTCTCACCCCATCCTGATTACATGCTGAATGGTGGTAACAGTGAGACCCACCTGAACCTGTGCTAGGGAGAGAAGTGATGAGCAGTGGAGATGCCTTCCTTGCTCCAGTCACTGGAGGTGAAAGAAACAATCTTTTGCTCAATCCTCTATCTTTCCTTGGCTGAGTCATGGGAGATATTTGAACTATGAGTTCTCTTCACAATGTTAGTCAAGCAGGGCAGAACATACCCTCCCCACTGGGATGTCAGGGAAAGCTTGGAGCTTTGACATCATGCCCCAAGCCTGATTGCCAGCATGGTAATTAACTGAGCTGGAAACACAGATTCTGTCTCTGGGAAGGGGCCAGTCAGCAGACAGAGCATGGGCCTTTGATTCAGGAACGCTGAGTAATCCCAGATCAGCACTGATTTGCTTGGTAACCTCAGGCAAATCACTTAACCTTTCTGTGCTTAGTTTCCCAGTCTGTATAAGGGGATAATGATACTTACCTCACTGGGTTGATACGAGGATTAATTAATGATTGTACAGGAGTTTAAAATATAATACACTCTGCCCTGTAAGTGCTAAGTATTAATTAGAAGTCCACTTGATACGTTTGGCATTATGAATCCAGGGTCCCTGCCAGCTTTTACTCTCATAAACCCTAGCAGAGGCACCTCTCTCAGAGGGCAGTTGGAAGTGAAAAGTGGCCACTGCCTCTATTCTACTGGGGGTCTGCAAAAGGCAGTGCCTGCATCCCTAAGGTGGGCTAAACTGCCCCAGGAGGATGGGTGTCCAAGGCAATTGGAGGATACACTAATTCCATGCATCTCTTGAGCATTCTTTGCTAGTGAACTCCTGTGGAGCCCTGTCTGTGATTTAAAGCTGCTCCTCTTTGGTGGAAATTTTGAAAGAGGGCAGATGAATTGCCCCTGGAGTTCAGGAATATCAGCTGGTGGAGGTAGGTGTAATTAACACCACGAATATAGGAGAATCTAGCTGTGTGTTTACCACATGGCGGTTTCCAAGGATGATGTATCCTCTTGGAATTTGGAGCTGCTTTCACGGATGCATACTCCATAAGGTCCATGGAGCTTTTGTCAGCAGCAATCTTGGAGGCTGTTTTCTGTTGGATAAGGGCCTAAAGGAAAATTAAATAAATTAGGATGGGCAGTTCTTTTGTTGTTGGGTTTTTCCCCCCTCTACAAGCAATCTCCAAAAAAATTTTTAGCCTGTCTTTGCTGTCTGGGCTCACTGTTTCAATTTTTATATCTTTTCTGGCTGGGACACTCTCCAGAATTACATCCCAACAAAACCAATTAAATAATTTTGTACATGCAATTATAGAACAGAAGCAATACTCTTTTAAAGCCAGCAATCAACAAACAAAACAATGCTTTATTTGACAATAAACCTTGTGTTTGGCATTGCTATGTGAAAGGTAGTAAATCTATAAAAATTTTACTACATCTCCATAAGTACTGAATAATAAAAAAGATCACAAATTTTTATTTGGGGTTTTTTTAATGCTCAACAATGACGATGTTTCAGATAAAACTTTTGAAGCTTAACATAAAATAATGATACAGATTCACCTTTATATTGGAGAACAGAAGATCAGAAATAATGCATTACTTCTTTTAAAAATTGCTTCCATCCTATCTTGCTTAGTAAAAATCACAAAACTACAGTCATGTTCTCTTAAAGAAGCCTATTAAACTTGAGAGATTTTATATGTAACCAAACTGTACCTGAATTCCTTATTTGGATGGACCATTAAGCAACTTGGAGTGAATTCTCCACTGAAAGTACATGGGTGACATCATTAATGATAATAGTGCATTGAGGGAAAGATATTAGTGCCCTATTCCAGGGATGAGAAGGCTTTAACTTTTTGAGGGCAGTTAAAATCATGGGCCAGATTCACTGCTACACCAGCAGTTTTGCACTGCTCCAGTTAAGATGGGTTTATGGTTGTTTGCATCACCAGGGCAGCACAAAGGAATAGACCAAGCCAGTAAATTTGGTTCTCTGTCTCCACCTCCATACTCCATCCTCATAAGCCACCTGTCCCCTGACCCCTAAGTCAGGGGTCGGCAACCTATGGCACGCGTGCCGAAGGCGGCATGTGAGCTGATTTTCAGTGGCACTAACACTGCCTGGGTCCTGGCCACGGGTCCGGGGGGCTCTGCATTTTAATTTAATTTTAAATGAAGCATCTTAAACATTTTAAAAACCTTATTTACTTTACATACAACAATAGTTTAGTTATATATTATAGACTTATAGAAAGATATATTCTAAAAAGGCTAAAATGTATTACTGGCACACAAAACCTTAAATTAGAGTGAATAAATGAAGACTCGGCACACCACTTCTGAAAGGTTGCTGACCCCTGTCCTAAGTGAATATTGTCCAAGTGCATAAACTTAGTTCACTTATTAATGGGCTTTGGCATATAACATCATAGGTAAATAGGAAAGAGCAACAATAAAGTGGCAAAGTCCAGGTGTCGTCATATATTTCCTGAGCGCCCTAGTCATTTTCTGACTTCTCAGGAGTGATGAGCACAAGTGAAACGCCTCCACTTTCACATTCCAGAAGTTTCACTGACTAGCTAGGCTGCTCCAAAAAAACAAAAAAAAAGGTGTTGCCATGAGAGGCTAGCAGGAAACTGAGCAAATGTAACTTTTGCAGCAAGACACCAAAAGCTGCACTTTCTATATTTCTTTGCCTAACAGTCCATATCTCTGAGCAGTTATCTGTGGAGGTCCCAACAAAAATCCACAGCCGCTTTCTAACTAAAGTCCATGGACAACTTTCACTCTTCTTTAGCATCCCAGTGTCTGAAATCAGGTAGGCCAAGAGGTCTTCTTTTCTTTAAGAATATTATAATTCCTCCCTTTCGTCTTCCTGTTTTTTCATTCCTATTTGTTAAAGCCAGAGCCTAGCTGGAGGCTCCTGCCTCACCAAAGAGCCTAAAAATCCAGCTGCATTAAGAAGAAAAGAGGATCCTCTGGACTGCTAGTCTAGTTTAAATTGGCTTCTGTTCCTGAGGTTCCCAGTGATGTTTCCTTAGATATTAGGAGCCTCAATTTCAGTGACATGAGCCCATAGAGGAACGAGAACATTAGAATCTCAATTGGCTGCTACACTGTATCTCTTTAATAGCTCTGGGCAATATAGATTTAAATGGCATGGGTTTTTCAGATGAAGGCTGAACAGACTAGTTCTGAAGTTTTGCTTTGGAGGACCTGAAACTTTTTCCAGTACTCCCAGTTAACAGGCTCCTGGCTCTTACCATCCTTTTTGTCTCTGGAGTTAGTTCTAAACTACAGCAGAGCCTAATCCGCCTGAGAGGTCACTTCCAGACCAGACCAACTTGGAATGAAAAGACAGCTATACAGGTGTTTCAGTGTCTTCAGTGTTGTCCTATTTACCGGAGTCTGCTGCTACTCTGCCTTCTGGTGTTCTCCTTCAAGGTGGTTTCCTGTGTTCACTTCTACTCTGCACTCGGGACTCTGCGGCTGTTTCTGATTCAAGCCCAAGCCCATTGAATATTTGACTTGGAGTGTTTGATAAATGTTTCTCCCCACGACAAAACTTCTCTTATGGTGTTCTGGCACTGTGTTGAATTTCTCCCTTGACTTTAACGGTCTTTGGATCAGGCCTATAATTATAAAGAGGGCTTTCTCTGACCACAAATGTCAATCTTTAGGGTAGGAGACACAAAAGGAGCTGTGTGGTTTTGGGAAAATGGTCATAGTCAATGATCAGGCTCTACATAAATGCATGAGATCCAAGAGCCCTGTGAAGGACACCATTTGGCCTCAGGAACTTTCTCTCAGATAGGCCAGACAGACAAATCAGTAGTTTGTAGAATAGTTAAAATGACACTAAGAACCTGCCAATGAGAGAAAAAGTCTGGCAGCTCTGAAGTCTTGTCCTCTTGCAGAAAAAGGCAAACCAGCTCTCTGTTGATCTGTGCTGGCACAATCTTGCCTGGAAAGAATGGTCCCTAGCTTTCTCCCTCCCATCCATAGATCTATATGCCTACCTGACAAATACCATTCTCCTGTACCCAGTACTTAGACCTTCAGGCTTTAACAGTTATACAGTCCAGTGGTCCTAGTGGACTTTAAACTCATCCAAGCCTGACACTTCCCTGTTTTGGAATGGCTATTTTAATAAAAAGCAATGGAACTTGACACTCCCATTGGTATCCTGGATTTGTCTCAGAGCAACAAGACAATCTCTTCTCATATATTGTAGAAGGGGTGTTCAGATATTGTAGGACTGGGATACAGCACCAATTCTTAAATACCACACGTAAAAGATTTTTCTTAAAAGTCAGATGCTCGAGATGAAGCTGTCCCCTGGCTCCTTTAGTGTAGTCATCTGGCAGTTATGCAGCAAATAATTCAAGGTTATTTTCTTTGGCAGCATTTCAGAGCAAATCTTTATGTAAGAATGAAATGTTTTTAAACAATGGAAAGGATAATGGGTACATTTGTTTGTTTGTTTTGAATTTTAATGAATAAATAGCATTCATATTTGTTAAAAATAGAAAGTAGAAAAATAAAACAATTCTAGTGATAATGACAAAATTTTGATATTTAGAAAACCAGCACTGCCTTATGTCCACATTAAATTTAATTTGAATTTTCTGAAACTGGCTATTTTTTTTAAAAGGGTAGGGAGTGATTGGGTGCTCTTTAAATAATATGCTGAAATTAAAAAAAAAGCACACTTTAAAATATGTACAAGGATATTTTTGCTCCCTTGTTTATGTTTGTGTAAAGGCCTTTTCAGTAGTGGAACAATAACTACAGCCCAGACCCTTAGTAAACCTTAGGAACAGGCTTATCTTTAAGGAAGTCAATAGTCCTGTTGATTTCAGTGGGACTACTCATGGCTCTGATTCAGAAAAAGCATCCATATTCAGGAAGGATGCTTAAACACGTGCTTAAATCCCATTAAATCAATGATAGTATTAAAGTTATGCATGTGCATAAGTGTTTAAGGGTCAGGGCCTTAGTACTTTCCTGATTTGGGATTTATATGCTCAAAATTAAGCACATATGTGTTTGCAGCAACAGCATTTAATTAGGGGTCTGATCCAAAGCCCATTTAAGACAATGACTTTCCATTGACTTTAACTGGCTTTGGATTACTGAAAATACAGGGGAAACAGTGAAAGTAACTACACATGGTGCTGTCAAATATACAAAGTAAACACACAAATAATACAGGTTTTTTATTTGTCAGCTAACATCTTTCAGTTGTAGTAACCTGAAATATTACTACATACAAGGCACAGGAAACAGATCCCTTTAAAGATGGCACTTTTTGTTTAAGTAGGGGTTTGCTCTTGTGTCCTTGGACAAAATTTCTGAGTATGTTCATTGTGCTGTGTATCAGTGGATTGCCATCCTATTTTATCTATCCATTCTAATCTAATCTATTTTTTCATTTCCAGCATCACCACCACTACAGTTATGAGGAGCCAGTATAATTCATAGTACCTTTAGGATTAAAGAAGTTATGTAAATAATTATGAGTATTGTACTATAAATATCACAATATGGTAAACCTCGGTGAAACTATTTATTATTTTTCCACATGGAGACTGGAATAAATAGGAATGCCACTTGGTGATTTCAATTCTAAAAGCAGTCTATCCGTCATGATAATTCTGCCGTTTTAAAGCATATAAACATGGTTTCCCCCCCTCAGGAATGAATGTTTCATTATTTGTTTCCTTCAGTAAATACAAGGATCAGTTCTACTTCCAGTGAAGACGCGGGCCCTCCCTACTCCACTGCGTCCCAGCCCAGGGCCCTGGCAGGGGCAGAATCAGCTTCCCTGAGGTCAGCGGCGATCCAGCCGCAACACTCCAACGCTGGGGCTCTGGGGTTTGCAGCCAGCCCTATGGCAGCTGCCTCTGGGCCACTTCCTGCCTCCCCTGGGGTGGGTACCTTTGATGTCAAGTCATTGTCTGGCTCCTTCGGGTAAGCGGCAGCGGACACTCTGGGCCAGTCGTCGTCCCCGCCCGGGCCGTGGGCTGAGCTAGGCGGGGAATCTGCTCCGTGCTGCTCCAGAACCAGCGGGACGTCCTTCCCCTCTGCAGGCTTCCCCCCGAATGGGCTGTGGGCCTGGTCTTTTATACTTCCGGCCACACCCTTGTCCTTCGGGCGAGGGGGGTGGGGTGACCTAGGCTCCGCCCTCCAAGGGGTGTGTAACACTCCCTCACTTACCCCGGAGGAGGGAGGCCTGTCCGCCTCACTACATAAAGCATGCAACATATGATTCTGATCCACACTTATGGCTTGGGTTTTTTGGTTCCCTTTCAATGGTCCAATGCTAAGAGCAGCTCGTAATGCATAATGATGTTCTGAACAAATAATTAGTGCTGTAGTTCCTTTTGGGGGCTGACGGAATTGATTTTTTTACCTTTGACATATGAAAATTTAGAAAAAGCCTTCTTGTTAAATCAGCAGACACTGTCTGATAGCAGTAACAATACAGCTTATGGGGGAAAGAGCTTTTCAGGTGTTAGAAATTGGAGTATCCATGTGTCGATGAAAACTGTCACTATTGTTTTTAGTGGTAGATAATGAATGAAGTGTTTATTTTTGATAATTTGTATGTATATTTGGATTTAACAGTATTTGAATGTTACAAAAACTGAGCTCCAAAAAAGTATGAATGTCAGACAGATATATCATGAGTGACGTGTTATTTATGCCAAGATATAGCATTAACCTGATCTTTAACATGGCTTTTTTGTCATGACTTGACTGTCAGTGTTCAAATAAGCCAGTCACACAATGTTTGTGAAGTATCTCCTTTATTTTGAATTTGTACAGGTAAGTTTGCTTCAAATTGGAAGATGGTCTATCCATGTTATTATTAATAAGTTTTTCTGTCATGCTTTACAGATTTCAAAGCACTGTACAGTACAAATATTAACTAGTTATTCTTTGGGTATGTAGGCACTATATCCCACTTTTATAGATGGGAAAACTGAGATAAAAGGAGGTTAAGTGACTTGCCCAAGTTGCTTATCGAAAAGGAGATTGAGAGGTGACTTAATTTAGAGTCTCTATCCATAGGGAGAGAATAGTACAGGCTCTTTAATTTAATGGAGAAGAGTATAACAAGAACCAATGACTGGAAGCTGAAGCCAGAGGCATTCAAATTAGAAATTAGGCACAAAGTTTTAACCATGAGTGTGATTAACCATGGGAACAAACTACCAAGCAAAGTGGTGGATTTGTCGTTTTTGGTTGTCTTCAGATCAAGACTGGAGGCCTTTTTGGAAGATAAGCTTTAGTCAACCACGAGTTATTGGTCTCAATTACAGGGACAACTGGCCTGTGATATACAGGAGGTCAGACTACATGATCTAGTGGTATATTTAGGCCTTAAACTCTATGCATCTCTGAATTGTACTACAAAATCTCTGCTTTCATTTAAAAAAAATTACATATTTCCAGTGATTAGGAAGATAAATTTGGAAACATCAAGTGAGTGTTGTCTCACATAAACCTTCAGACAACTTGAAACAATAGTTCTGAAAGGTGTGAACTACCCATTGGTTTCAACGGATTGACTTAAATCTAAAGAGGACAACCTAACTGTTCGTTCTATTTCACCATTGATTAGCACAAATATTTAGCAAATACGCTCATCCCAATCCCAATGTTTCTCAAACTGGAAAATTTAATATAAAAATAAATTACACTGGGGATATGGTTCTAATTGTAATATTTATTTCCATATTTAATTAAAAAAATCAAAATTTTAATTCAAATAAATCTGCCGCAGAATGTCCAGCCCATTGGATCTGACTGCTGCAGAACCCAGGCACATTGTAACAGAATTTAGGTTCCGTTTGCCATAGATTACACTGGGATTTAAGAATTTCCATAGTTTTCTTACGTAATTGAAAGAATTTCTGTGTACATCTATTAAAATTTATATTCAGGTACATGGTCAGCCAAATCACATGGTAGTGTGGCATTGAGTAATAGTATGCAGACAACTCACACACCACATATATAAACTCTGGGGGAAATAATACAATATGTATATGCAAAAAATGCCACCTTCCCTCTCTTAATTTTTACATAATATTCTGTAAAGATCATATATGTTTATTTCCTAATGTTTCACTACAGATTTGGCAGAGAATAATGTTGTTCACTGAAAGGAGTTGCTTTTTTTTTCCAGACTGTGGAATCATTCCTGTGTTGGTAAAACGAATACATTGGATTATAAAGAATTTCTGAAGAACCTTGGTATAAATATGGGTACAGTTAAGAAAAATGCAACAGAAAACCAACGCTTAGGTAGGTGCTCACAAGGTGAATATATAGTGTAGGCTTTGGGAAAGTGAAGTTTTCACTTGGGGCCTGATCTGACTCCTGCTGAAATCAATGGGAGTCTTTCAATGAGAGTTGGATTGGGCCCTTACATGGCAACTTTAGTCTGGAATTTTCAAAGAAGCCCAAGACAACTATGTGCCATTTAGGTGACGGTCTCTCTTAGAGTGGTTTGAAAAGCTTAGCCACAGTGTATCAACATTACTCATAGGCCAAGGTTTCAAAAAGTGACACCCAAATGCATGTGTAAAAAGTACAGTCACAGTTGAAACTCATTTGCTGCAATTATGCATTTAGATTGTAGGAGTTCATGTACAAATAACTATTGGAGTACTGTGCTTAATGTGGTTGTATGTACAATCAAAGGGCTGCACACTCGGTCATGTTTTTTGTGCATCACCTTCTGGTCTTCATTTTTGAAAATATGTCCCATAATGTATATCAGAGTCTATGGACTTTTGAATGCATTTTAAGAAGAGGATACTGTCAGTATGTTTTTTATCATTTAAAAATAATAATAATGTTTTCATTAACCCCTTAGAAGCTTGTAACTAAAATCTGTTTCTTTAAAAACCTATTTTTCTACATCATGTATGCAGATGGGTTTGTTGTTGTAAGGTTACTTGCAAGTGCTGGCCTTTCTGCCAAGTGAGTTTTCATTTCTCTTTGTTTAAAAATAATAATATTTAAACGTTATACCGGGGGTGGGGGAGGGCAGTAAAGAATTACACAGACTTTGCAACCCGAAGAAAAGACCGTAAGCTAAATTTTGAGCCTGCCAACTTGAAACATTGCCCCTTTCACTTCTACTATTCAGACTTAATACTTCACAAAGAGTCACAAAACAGCAAATTAACCTTTCACAGTTGTCTAGAAAAGCCTGGCCAACAGTCATAGTACTGAACTGATCCACTGCCTGAGAAAAAGTCTTCCATTGGGTAGTGGGACTTATTTCTAAACCAACATTAAATGAATGGCCTGATTTTCAAAGGTGCTGAGTACAGTACTGGCTGTTCCCATTGACTTCAGTGAATGAAAATCATACCATTAGAATCTTTTTTATTTAATCGTACTTTTCCCCTCTTCATTCTGAAACAGGGTTGTGTGTACACAGAATGATGTAAAGTTTATGAAATATTACAAAATAAGATAGCTTAGGAAATAATTGGTAAAATAACCACAGCTGCTAAGCACTTGGTTTTTTACATAGTGTGGACAACTGACATCATAACCAAAGCTGTTGCTCCAAAGTCAAATCCCACTCTGCTTTGATCAACAAAAGTTGTAAATGTGAACAATTATCGTAGATAAACCCATTCAGCTAGTAAACAGAGGGCAGTATTTAGGGTAGAGATCAGAATGAGTGAGCTAGAAGGATAAAAGGAGGAGAAGGGTGGATGTAGTGAGAGAAGAGACATTGAAGATGGTGCACTGGAGTGGTTAATTAAATTGGGCCTGATCCTGAAAGTAGCTGAACACCCTCAACTGCCACTGAAGTTAATTGAGCATATCACACATCTTGCAAGAGGCTCTCAATAGAATCAGAATTATTATCACACGTGATAATGCTATAATATGTATCTATATCTGAATCCTGAAAAATGCGTAGTACTCTTACTAAGGCAGAGATTCCTCTGGTCTGTTTAGCTCTATACTGATAGAGGATTACAATTCACCTCCAAATTGAAATTCTGCTGGCCAGTGTCATCAGGCTGTTTGTTCCACAGCTCCTCCTATTATATGATGGTTTTATACAGCAACAGGGGAACTCGAATGGGCAAGCTCACAAAATCCTACTATTATTAGGGAAGAAGATGGGCCAATGGATAATGCACAAGTCTGTGAGTCAGGAGACCTGGGTTTTCACCTCCCACTCTGTCATTCACGGACTTTAAGGCCAGAAGGGACCATCATGATCATCAAGTCTGAGCTCCTGCATACTGCAGGCCAAGAACCACACCCACCCATTCCTGTAATAGGTCAGTCACCTCTGGCTGAGTTACTGAAGTTCTCAAATCTTGATTTAAAGACTTGATGTTACAGAGACTGCACCATTTACTCTAGTTCAGATCAGCAAGTGGTCTGTGCCCCATGCTGCAGAGGAAAGTGAAAACCCCCCAGCTAATGTGAGCTGGGGGAAAATTCCTTTCCAACCTCAAATGTGATCATTTAGACCCTAGGCATGTGGGCAAGATGCACCAGCCGGACATCTGGGAAAATTCTCTGTAGTAACTCAGAGCCCTCCCCATCTAGCATCCCATCTACAGCCATTGGAGATATTTGCTACTAACAGTCACAGATGGGCCATATCCCATTGTAGATAAGCTCATCAAACCATCTCCTCCATAAACTTATCAAGCTCAGCCTTGAAACAGGTTGGGTTTTTTGTCTCCCCTACTCTCCTTGGAAGGCTGTTCCAAGATTTCACTCCTCCAGTGGTTAGAAACCTTTGTCTAACTTCAAACCTAAACTTATTGATGGTCAGTTTGTATCCATTTGTTCTTGTGTCCACATTGGCCCTTAACTTAAATAAATTTGCTCCCTCCCTCGTGTATGTCCTTCTGATGTCTTTATAGACAGCAATCATATCTTCCATCAGTCTTTGTTTTGTTAGGCTAAACAAGTCAAGCTCCTTAAGTCACCTCTCGTAAGGTAGCGTCTCCATTCCGCTGATCTTCCTAGTAGCCCTCCTTTGCACCTGTTCCAGTTTGGATTAATCTTTCTTAAACATGGGAGACCAGAATTGCATATACTATTACAAATGAGGTCTCACCAGTGCCTCGTACAATGATAATAACACTTCCCTGTCTCTACTGGAAATACCTCGCCGGATGCATCCTCAGATTGCATTAGTCTTTTTCACTGCTGCATCATGTTGGCAACTCATAGTCATCCTGTGATTGACCCATACATCCAAGCCTTTCTCCTCCTCTGTCGCTTCCAACTGATGTGTCCCTAGCTGATAGCAAAAGTTCTTATTATTAATTCCTAAGTGCATGACCTTGCACTTTGTACTATTAAATTTCATCTGTTTCTATTACTCCAGTTTTCAAGGTCATCCAGATTTTCTTGTATGATATTTTGGTCCTCCTCTGTATTGGGAAAACCTCCCAACTTTGTGTCATCTTCAGATTTTATTAGAGCACTCCCACTTATTGTGCCCAGGTCATTAAGGAAAATGTTAAATAAGATTGGTCCCAAGACAGATCCCTGAGGAACTCCACTAGTAACCTCCCTACAGCCTGACAGTTCACCTTTCAGTATGACCGGTTGTAGTCTCCCCTTTAACCTGAGGCCTGGTCTACACTACGAGTTTAGATCGACTTTAGCAGCGTTAAATCGAATTAAGCCTGGACACGTTCACACGACGAAGCCCTTTCTTTCGACTTAAAGGGCCCTTTAA